GGTCGACGCTCGCAGCGTCAGTAGTCTAGAAGAGCGTCTTTCGTTGGCTAAACCTAGATACCCTGTCTGCGCAGCATCGCCAGTAATTATGGTTTACTGGTCTCGATCGCAAAACGAAAAGGGGAAACGTCGAAGCTGTCAAAGTGTACTTGGTTACTTCTTTTGTACTGAGAAGTTGCGAGCTTGAGCTGCCAAATTGTATTTATACTTCGCACGCGCCACTCATGCGACCTTCGAGCTGTTTAAATAGGAACTCCTTGCCATGGAGTTGAAAAAGTGAGTAAGTAAGGCCTTCTAAAACTAAGTTGCATGTTCATTTCAACGGGAAGTTTGGATTTCTCCAGTTTGGGTCTGAATAGATCTTAGCAGTCTGGGATGTCAGCTAAGAAACTGACCCACACGCAGGTCCATTAAGCAGGGGTAGCATATCACGAAAGCTAGCTTTAGCTAGCTGAAGTTTCTCCTTGCGTAAGCAAGGTAAGGGGCTCAACTGCCGAAAGATTGATTATTTCAATTATTTGAGCCGAAAAGATTGAAAAACAACAATTGTTTAGACCCCCCCCCCCCGTCTCAGGCTCGATTCCTCCTTGGTCCACCCCTCCCCCCGGCTCAGTGTTTCAGCAGTCTCGGTTTGCCCGTTTTGGACTTGGTGCTACGAACTTTTACATGTTCCACCGATTCAGCTTGTTCATTTGAGACCTCAGTCTTCTCAGTAAACCACCTCGCAAGAATCTTTGCACACGCAGCATGCAGAACCCAGAGGTGCTTTAAGACAGCTTCTGACGCCTCTCGTTGTTTTCATTTTTCAAGGTTTGCCACGCCACCATGTGCGTTTGCGTGTCGCATCCTACGAATCTTGCCGGGCCTCTCGTTGTACACAAGCTACCTATGAATCCACGCTGTCACCGACCCATCTCATGCAACAACTGCTAGCTTTCGTTCACCCGCTCCTCAAGTCTATATATATATATATACACACTTGTATTCATTCATATGTATGTGTAGGCATAAATTCATGTTGTATTTGTGCATGTTTTAGTGGTTTCATGCCAGGAATGAGGCGTCGCTGCCAACTCTTGGAGTGTTTGGCCACGCCTCGGTCAGTGCCTTCTCTGCACACCGTGCTGCGTGACAGGGAAACAGGCCAGCGCGCTTCCTCATTACACGCCTGAGCTTGCGATGTGCCAAGTTGCTCAAATTGAGGTCTTCAGCTGCAATCTGAGGTGTACTTGATGGATGAGATCACCTCAGATTTGGATTTGTTTGCCCGAGAGGGCATTCTGAATTTCCTCCGTTGCGAAACAGAGCTTCGTGGCGCAACAATTTTCTACTGCACCTGCTCCGCACTGATGCTACATGTGCACGCTACTGCAAATCATGATCCACAGTTTCTCTCAATCAAACAGTCACAGCATATGCGCTCCCTCCCGACATAATTTGAAAGGGGTTGGAAGGCCGAGGACCTGGGCGGCGAATTTGTGCTTGATCTAGCCGTGCATAGGGTTTTGTTTTGTCTAGCCTCATCAGTGCTTGGTAAGAGACAAATTTGATATTCAAGGCTTGATGCGGGCCCAAACGCAGCGCTGGGTGCTGTGTTCCGGCCTCGAAGGAGGGTCTGACTGGTCAAGCCTTGTTCACAAGGTGAGTGTTTAGATGTTGGTGCACTTGGGAGAAGCATATATGAATGTATTCTAGTGCATGATTTGCCCATCTAGGACTGGGAGGAACGATCTCTCAACTAGGACCAGGACCAAATGAGACTAGAACCCAGGATCTCTCAACTGGGACTAGGAGCAAACTAGGACTAGACGACCCACCTCACATTGGTACCAAAAAATAAACTTCAAGTGTAACTTCCTCTGTAATGTCCTGTATACTTTCTAGTTATTGCAGTAAACTAGGGAGCAACCTAGCACTAGAACCCAGGATCTCTCATCTAGGACCAAACTAGGACTAGACCATTTAACTCTACTTCTTGTAGTATTTGGATGTCAAGTGTACATTCTGGTGGAAAGAAAGTCATTCTTAATATTTGGTTTGAAACAGAAAAACCATAAATTATGACTGGTTATTTTCTTTATGTTTCTTCTTTTGTTCAGTTAGCTGTTGCATAGAACTTGATTCATATATTAACTACAATTCATAAGGAACTTCCTTTGTATTGTCCTTTGTACGTTCTATTTATTTCAGTAAGCATAGTAGGCCTAGAACCAAGGATCTCCCAACTAGGACCAGGACCAAACTGGGACTAGACCATCTAAGAATCCAACTCTAGTTCTGAAAGTGATTTAATTTCAAGTACAATGTTCTATTGGACAGGAAATCGTTTGTACCATTTAATTTGACATAGAACAACCAATACTTAAGTTCGAATCTAAATCGAAATTCTGGCTGGAGTATGTCCTTCTTAAGCTCCATTGAATTTCAAACAGAAATTGGGTCGAATGTGATTAAACAAATAGTAAATAAAATATATAAGGAAAGAATCCAAAGGTCCAAAACTTGTGTCTTTTCACTAGTCCTAACACTACCATGGTCAGAAAACACCGTAAAACACAGTGTTGTGTAGTGCTTTTCATACTCAATTCACATCTCCACCAACGAACACTCGCTAAATGCTCGTTTGAATTTGAACACGATTCAATTGGGACTCAATACGGAAATATTTGGTCAGAATCCTAATGGTAATCAAATCTGAAATTTCGATTTTAAATAGAGTTCCTTTCCCAATGTGTACTTACAATTCAATTAGAGCTTTAACAGGATTTGATAAAGAAAGAACCCAAGCTTGTATTCAACATTCAAGAATCAATATTCTCTAGACAAGTCTTTTTTGCAAACGCGAGTCCAGGCCCGAGTGAAACCCATTGAAGCCAACTGGTCTCGACGTAAACCGATTTAAACCGATTTAAGTTTAAATCGGGCAGGGATTCAAGATTCAAGAATCCAGGCCAACATGTTTTCAGGGAGTCTTGAATCTTGAATCGTCAATCCATTTAAGTTAAATCGGTTTAAATCGGTTTAAACCGAGGCCTGGATTCAAGATTCCCTGGAAAAGTTTGGCCTGGATTCTTGAATCTTGAATCCATGCCCGATTTAAATTAAATCGGTTTCAATCGTTTTAAATCAAGCCTGAAGCTTCCAGAACGTCCTTGGAAATGCTTCTTTTTCATTGCTCTCCCCAAAGCCCAAAAAAGGGTAGAACACACTGCAAATACCAGTGAATTCTTCAAAAAGGTAGATCCCTGGGGGGGGGGGGGTACCATATATATGATGAACCGTGCAAGTTTGGCGTTTCCACTGGTCAAACCAACCCTTCCCCCACTCTCCACCCTGCCCCATCTCAAGCCGCCCCCAAACGGCCAACCGCTCTCCAACCGCTTCCCAACCGCTCCCCAATCGCTCCCAAACCTCTCCTGAATTTTCCTGACAACTTCCCAATCACTTCCTGACCGAGGCACACACATCTTTGATCATTTGGATGGTTGGGCTAGCCATTTGCTGCACTTGTCGCTGGGCGAGGTGCCAGCGACGCGCGTTCCCATGGTCTTCAAGCACTAACAGTCATTCGAGTGTGCCATGTCTTGGAGTTTCAGCGTGATGCTTGAGTCACTAGTTTCGCGGGTGCAAGCTGATGCCAGGGATTTCAGAACGTTTTTTCAGAGCAGGCCTAAACATTGGCGGTCAACGCGCGCTTTTGTTGAGCAGCAAGTTGCTGCATGCAACACCTCAATGCCTCCATGGCAGCAAAAGCAAGCGGCCCGCAGGTGGTCAACTACTGCCCGATGAGCGACGTGTCCGAGTATGAGACTCTATGCAAGGACGTTCGCTGTGCACAGCTGGAGCTTGCCGCCTTGAGCTGCCAGGAGCACAACCCAACTCCCCTTTACTCCTTGGTTCGGAAGTGGGTCTACGAGGACGGCTGAGGCTTTATGCAGAATGGCTGGGATTGATCAGGGCTCCTGATGCGCACAAGTGTGCGACTTGAAGACTAGGAGTATGATGCCAGCAACGGAGCACAGCCATGGCGAAAACTGGCCAAGACTGAGGACAGGGTGCTTAAACCTAGGCATTGTCAACATGTTCCTAGGATTCCACAAAAGCTCCGTGATTTGATTTGAGCCTGAAATCTTACAGGCATGTGACGTGACTTGTTTTCTCATTGGCAATGCCATGCGGCAGGATGGCCGTCTTCCAAACCTTGGATTGGCAGGCCCCTTTCAGATGACCAGCGGATGAGGCAAAGCATGCATGCATTCCGAAAATCATGCACGATTGCTGCGAATTGATCTCTGGCGATGAAGCAGCCACATGTGCGCACTCACTTGTGTGGCAGGTTTAGATGGTAAAGCCAGGGCTATCCAGTTGGTGAAGGGCTCTCGGCTCCCTGGCTACAAGTTACAATTTTGGCCTGAGCCACTCGTTTGCCCTAGCATGGTGCCATGCCTCGATGCAGTGTTTGTTTTTGCCTTGCCAAGGACCGATTGTTCCCACTGCTGCTGAGCAAGCACCACTAGCCAAGAAGGCTGTTTCACTGAATTCAGTGTTTGGGCTTGTCAAGTTTGTCAAATATGCTGGATGCAGCTTACCGAGGGAGTTTGAAGGCACCATCACCAGGGGAGGCAGTGCAGTTCTTCAATCGAGACTCAAAATTGCACGAGTGCTTTGAAGCGGCCTCGCTGCAACCAGCAACTCACCTGATCCCTTCTGCAGCGATGTGCGTGCGTGAGTGTATGTGCGGTGTGTATGCGCTGCTTGACTTTCAATTGGCTCGGCTTTGAGCTTTCTATCCCCACACGCGTGCTTTCCCTTGCAGAAGGCGTTGCTGAGAATGCCCAGTTTTCGTAGATTTTCGCTGCTCTCATGCAGATTGGCAGTGTCAAATTTTCAGAGCGCGTTCTCTTTGCAAAAGAAAGGCTCTCATGCTCCAAGCACTGAAATTCACTGGGCACATGCTGGTGGAGGTTCCCACTTGTGGCTTTGCTGGCAGTGCAGTGCAGGTGTCGCACATTTGCCGGAATGGGTCAACACATTAGCAGAAACTGGAGCGAACACGCTGGAGCAGCGGCCTCAATGACCTGAGCACGTTCTTGCTCATTGCTCGTTCTTTTACGCAGATTTGACTGCCTGCTGTGTGCAGTTACCTCGACAGCACCGACAGCGGCTACGATGGTGGAAAGGCCATCACGGACTTTTTCGACAACATGAAATCATCGGCCGTCGCCCTATTGCTAGACAACATGCCGAGACTATACGCTAAACAGTCACAGCAGCTGCAGTTTGAGGTGTTTGGATTCTTCACAGGGGCGCCGTCTTCCACACAGGCCTTTGTGTGTGAGCGCGCTGGTGCAAACTTGTTGTTTTGTTTTCACCCAGGGACACTGGTGAGATTTGGGCTCGGCTGTGGTTTCTCTGCACCGAATGGATTGCCACCTTTCCCAACTCAACAATTCGGATGATTCATGATGCTTCTATTGGGCCCCAGCACTCCGCGAACAAACGTGCAACAGGCCAGCTCTTGCAGCATGTTCACTGTCAGTGGCAAGCAAAATAGCAACCCTTAACCTAACAACAAAGGAGAGAGCGCAAGCCAAAAAACAATCAAACTGACGAAGAACAAACGCAACCTCGAAACCAACACCAACCCTGAAACCCAAAACTTTACCCACGAGACGTATTCGCAGCAAAGATAATGAAGACCCTTGGCCTGAAGCCTCAACCAAACCTGACCCAACCATTGAGACCTCCAAAATTGGAGTGCTGACACACCATTTCCAGTCCAGAGCGGCAAGGCTTCCTCAGACAAAAGTGCAACAAAGAAGTGGGAGAAATAAAAAAACGCGTAGAAGCTTCCTGATGTTAACTTCCAGTGAGGTCTTTGTCCTACGTTTCTTTCAATTCAGCTTGCTTCCTGCCTTGGAGTTTTTAAGAGGAGGACAATGCCCAGCCTCTATTTTCCGCTCTTCTTGGCTGCCAGACATATGGCGGCAGGCATGGACTTCTATTCGCGGGGGCGTTCTTTTTGTGGGCCCTTTCTGGAAAGCCACACCAATAATAGATTCCGGAGGAAGGTCGTCCAGTCCAATCGGCGCAGCCCGTCCGCGCTGCTGAGTCAATCTCTGTCAAATCCTGCTGGTGCAGCCTTGTCCACGTTATCTCACCACCATGTCTCCCCCGCACCAGGGCGCCGTTGTCTAGAAAGCTGATGCCAAATCTTAGCTAGACAAGTTTGCGCCCTGCTTTTTGTAAGACGTGACGTGGCCTGGTCTGGTAAGAAGTGGCAAGTGGCATGCGGGCAATTTTGTAAGACTTCACGGCAAGCGCACCCTTCCCCCCCAGGTGCTTAACTTTTGTTTGTTTCACGGGCTATTTGTTTTGTGTGAGTTGCAAAATGCCAGCATGAATGTCATCTTAACGCGTGTATGAAACGCTTCGAGGGAATTCTTTGGAGGATTGCTGGCGTCATTAAGGCAACCTTTCTTCCAGCTCATGGGAAGAAAGATACTTGGGGGACGCGGCCTTAGTGCCTTAGTGCGCAAGGGTGACCAGATGCGGTTGCGCACGCCTTCCTAGCACCAGCCGTCAATCAATCCAGCTACAAACCCGCCACAGCATTGCAACAGCGTGACCATGCATCGCCATTTCTTGCCATGGCAAGTAGGTTGCAGGGGAAGTTTCGAGGCAAGCCAAAAATACATGTCAATTCTGAAACATAGTTGTGAACAGAGCAATGTGCCCTTCTTGCCTTTCTGACTGGAGACCGTGGCGATGTGGAGTCTCGAGGTTCGTTCAGCGGCCCAGTGAGTCAGAAGCTGGGCAGCTGTGATGTGGTGTGCAGGCTTAGGCTCATGTGCGGCTGCAGCTGCTGTAGGAGCTGTTAGGTTGGGCTTAGGGGTTCTCCAGAGGTTGGGCGCCCGCAAAATGAGGAGCTGAACGGAAGTAGTGCAGCATGTGGGGCATTGAGTCATGAGCTTTTGCATGACCAGCCGGTCGCGTTCTTCATTCCGACCAATGGTGACGCATATATGCATGTGTGACCTATAACCAGCGCTTTGCTGCGCTGCCTTAGTTGAGCATTTGCGTGTGGCATTGTGCTGACCATTTGAATGTATGTGTGCAGCACGTTTTTCATCCTAGACCAGACCCTCGGCGAGTCCTCGCGCGGCCGATCGTTTCTGGGTGGCTTCGGCCACCCCAGCGCTGTGACACTTTGTGGCAAGGTCTTGACAGTCTTGACCTCAGAGAAGATAGTTGCAAAGCAACAGCGTGCCATGCTCACTTGAGGCAGACGCTGCCAAACATGTTTGGACAGCCACAGGGAGGCTTCGGAGGCGGTGGCCTGTTTGGCCCCATTCTTAGTTGCCTTCTGCAACAGAGCGCTAGCACCTGGCAGTTAACACAACAGACGCCTTCCTAGCCACGCAAGCGCGGTGAAACTTCATTGCTTGCTTGTGCAGCAAGAAGGGTTTGCAGACAGTCGTGCAAGGTGCTAACACTGGCGGTGGCATGTTCGGGCAAAACACTGGCGGTGGCATGTTCGGGCAAAACACTGGCGGTGGCATGTTCGGGCAGAACACCGGAGGTGGCATGTTCGGGCAAAACACCGGAGGCGGCCTTTTCGGAGCCCAAAGCAGCCCGTTTGGAAACACAGGCGGCAGTGGTGGCCTTTTTGGGGCTCAGCCGAACTCCGGTGGCGGCCTCTTTGGCTCCGGGGCTGGGGCTGGGTTCGGCTTCGGCCAGACGCTTGGTCAACCTTCCGGCGGCGGCGGCGGCCTGTTTGGAGGAGGAGGCGGCTGCGGCTTTGGGCAGCCTTCTGGAGGAGGCATGTTTGGCCAGCAGCCAGCGCCAGGAGGCATGTTTGGGCAGAGCTCGGGCGGCGGCCTCTTTGGTCAAGCTAGGTCAGGTGGAGGGCTTTTCGGACAACCAGCTCAGGGTGGCATGTTTGGTGGTGCTGGTGGTGGCTTTGGAGGTGCAACATCTCCTGGCACCACAACCAAAATGCAAGAGATCATCGATCAAGAAACGAAATTGAAGTATGGCCATATTGGCGTCATGGACTGCTACAAGAACAAGTCCTTCGAAGAGCTGAGACCTTAGTTGTATCTTTGGCCAACCTCACACCCACTCTTTCTCGCTTCGAGTGGCCTTGCTTATGCCATTCCGTCTTGAAAAGAGTGTTTCTCTTGATCACTTTGCGTTTGCAGTCAGGCTTCGCATGGAAGATTACCAGGCCAACCGCCTACAAGCAGGACAAGGCCTGCCTGCTTCGCTTGAATCTCAACCCAATGGCACACTTGGAGCGGGAGCGGAGTGGACTGGCATGAGCTTGGACTAGCGTGGAGTGGCGTGTGAGTTGGAGCAGAGTGGGTGGAGAGGAGTGGATCAGGCTGAATGAGTGGAGTAAGTGGAGTGAGTGGAGCAAGTGGAGTGAGTGGAGTAGCGCAGAATCGTTCTTGTTTGTGTTTTTGTTCAGTCGTGGCTTGGCTGGTTTGCAATTGTTGGCGCGTCTGCTTCACTGCAAGCTTGCTTGGCGGAACGTGTGCTTGTGTGGTTTCCGCTTTCCGTTCGGGCTTTCATTCTTCTCTCTGTTTTTTGTGCGAGTGTGTGTTCGCACGTGGCAGCTGCCGAGGGATTTTGCGTGGCGTGGAAGGCCTTCATAAGCTTTGCATGGATGCGCAGTCTGCAGAAATGCAAGCAGATCATTTCACGATGTTGCAAGAACGGGGTTGCGCATTTGGGGTGGTCTGAATTGTCTGAGCAGGCTCTGCAGCTCCAGCAGCCTCCGGCGGACTTTTCGGACAAAGCTCTACCCCATTCGGTGGTGCCAGCAGCTCCGGTGGCGGCCTGTTTGGCGGTGGCAACGCGGGAGGACAGAAAGTTGTGCACTAAATTCCCTTGTTCCACTTCCAAGAAATGAATGGCCTTTGCCCTGCTTTGCCCTTTGGGGTGAATGAGGCAGGGCCTTCCTTTGACGAGCCTTAGTGGGTGCATACTGGCCAGTATAGCTCCCTTGAAGTTGACAATTTTGCCTGGATGATGTGCAGTGAAGGCCTCTTCGGCGGCGGGCAGAACACCGGCGGTGGCCTCTTCGGACAAAACACTGGCGGCGGCCTCTTTGGTCAAAGCAGTGGGGGCGGACTATTTGGGGCAAACACTGGCGGCGGTTTGTTTGGTGGCAACACTGGCGGCATGTTTGGTGGCAACACTGGTGGCGGGCTCTTCGGCGGCCAGAACACGGGCGGTGGCTTATTTGGACAGTCCAGCGGAGGGGGCATGTTCGGTGCCAACACTGGAGGCGGACTGTTTGGTGCCAATGCTGGAGGCGGTATGTTTGGGCAAAACACTGGCGGCGGCATGTTTGGCCAGAACACCGGCGGCGGCCTATTTGGCCAGAACACCGGTGGCGGACTCTTTGGACAAAGCCCTGCTGGGGGTGGCCTTTTCGGACAAAACACGGGTGGCGGCCTTTTTGGGGGCAACACTGGTGGCGGGCTGTTCGGAGCCAAGCCTAGCGGTGGGGGTTTGTTTGGCGCAAGTTCCGGAGGAGGAGGCCTCTTTGGCGGCAACAGTGGGCATCTTAACTGTTCCATCGGCTCTGGATAGCGCTGCTTGTTTAAGGCGTAGTCAATTTGCACCCCAAGGGTGTAAGGTTAGAAGAGTGTCCAACCATTCACTGAGGCGGGGGCGGCCTTTTTGGTGGCAACACCGGCGGAGGGCTCTTTGGTAACACAGGTGGGGGAATGTTCGGCGGCAACACGGGTGGAGGATTGTTCGGACAGAACACGGGCGGAGGGATGTTTGGACAGAATACAGGAGGAGGTATGTTCGGACAAAATACTGGTGGCGGCCTGTTTGGTGGCAACGCTGGCGGAGGATTATTTGGCAATTCTGGCGGCGGCGGCCTGTTTGGTCAGAGTAGTGGCGGTGGCCTGTTTGGCGCAAATACGGGAGGCGGCTTGTTTGGCAACAGCGGAGGCATGTTCGGAGGCCAGAACACTGGAGGAGGTTTGTTTGGCAACAGCGGAGGCGGCCTTTTTGGAGCGAAGAGCAGCGGAGGAGGCTTGTTTGGTGGCAGCTCAGCTGGTGGCCTTTTTGGAGGGAACACTGGCGGACTGTTTGGCAATTCTGGAGGCGGTCTTTTTGGAGGCGGAGGCGGGCTTTTCGGCAACTCCGGTGGCCTCGGCGCAAGCAGCGGCGGCTTGTTCGGCGCAACGGCGGGGGGCCTCTTTGGAGCCAGTCCTGCAGTGGGAATGCCTGGCATGGCGGGCCTGGGCGGCATGATGTCACCCAGCGACCCCTATGGCCTTGGTGGCCTAGTAACCGCAAATCATGCGCCTCCCAGGCCGCTGGGATTGACTGTGCCCAAGACGCCTTCTCACGCAAACTCTGCTTATTTGTGGAAATCGCAGCCAGATGCTTCTACAAAGGCGGGGCACTCACACGGCTCAAGGTTGTACTTCTGGACGCATTTTCACTTGCTGAACTTGAGGCGCGGCCATCCACCCCGTCAAGATCCACATCAGAGGACACGCTGTGCAAGTAGTTGAAGCCAGGAAATTTAGGTGCTTAGATGTGCTTAGATGCGCTTGGGGATTTTCACGCGACATATGTAACACGACAGGGCTCTGTGGCTGAGCGCTCTCCACGCAGTGCTTCTTTCAGCTTGCCACCGTCCGCAATGATGCTTGAGCTTCATTGGGAATTTCAGCTGACGACTGTGGGTTAGCTCCCTGAGAAATTGCTTGTGCCGAACAGTGAAGAGGGGCCTGAAGACATCTGGGAAATCATGTATCATGTATCGTCACACTACTTCGAGTACTTGGCATTAAGGACGGACCACATTCGATCCTACGGTAGCTCCACGCCACGTAGCCGACCAGCAACCCCAACTTCAGGGCCCGATGTTTCACCCTCGGAGACCTGGCTGACAACATGCTTACTGCAAGCAAGTCGGCAGGGGCATTTGCCAGATACCTGTGGACAACCGACGGTTTGATTCAGAGCTAATATGGCACCTGGTTTATTACAGGCACCGTCTTCAGTGTCAAATTGTTTTTCCTTAAGGACATTCGACTGCTCGGGCACCATCGTCAATGTCAAAAAGGCGGAACACCTAAAATCTCAATCACAAGGAACAGTACTCCACAGCTTTCTTGTCATGCCAGATTTGTCCCTTACCTCAGGCTTCAAATTCTGCCGCGCTTACATCTCAGGGAGTTTCTGGTTGCGTCCCGGTGGCCAGTCATCAATTGTCTTTACATAAGCTCTTTCAGAAGCGAAAGCCAAACAGGACTGTCTGGGCACTATCTGTGTTGTCCCCTGGAGCCTCTTGCTTCTAAGGCAGGGGGTTTGAATCTGAGGTCCCCGCCCCCGTACTTCGCAAATTCTCAACCAAGACAACCTGTTAGAATGCCAAACCACTGCCAATGCAATACTAAGCCAAGACCAAAGCAACACTAATTGAATCCCAACCCAGCACTAAAACTTATACATGGTCGCCCCAACTGTTCTTCTTTTTAGCGGCCCCACACAATTCAGCAGGGGTCGCATCCTTCGCACGGTTTTGCCGAAGTATGTCCAAAGGTGAAGCATGCCACAGGTGAGTTGCTTGACCAAGTGCAGCAGCCTGAACAAGCAATTTCCACAAGTCTTCAGGACATGCCTTCAATACCGCCGAATTTTCAGCATTGAGTTGCCCTGACAGTGCTGGTCAGCTTCCGCCAAGGCGTTCCTCCGCGTGTCCATGAAGCCAAAGTCTCCCAAATCGCCAGTGCCGATCTCGCCAAGACGCACGCTTGATGAGGGCCTTCCTCCACTGAGGCGCGCAGGCACCCAAAGTGTTTCTCGATGTCAGCCCATGGCGCTTTGGGGCAGGCGCCTCTTAGACAAATCTTGAGGGTTGTTTGGGTGGTTGCAAAAGACTGTGGAGAAATGCGCTGGGCAAGCTCCACAGACTTAGTCTTCCTTCTTTGGGTTTCTCTATTCCAATGCTGGGTTGCTGCATTTCTGTTTTAACTTTCCCAATAGTTGCACATCCCGGCCTTTTCTCAACAGTGTCCTGATATCGCGGCTCCTCTCTTGCCCTTGTGTTTCTGTGGTTTTTCTTTCTGCTTTGTTTGGCTCCCTTTGCCTCTTTCATTGTATGTTTGATCGCAGCCCTGCTTCTTCCGATGTTTTTCATAGGACCCTGCTTATTTTCTGATGTCCTAGCGTATTTGAAGCGAGTCACTGAATTGTTTGAAGGGCACATCCGACCAGTGTGATCTTGGGCTTCTGGCTCTCTTGCTCGCTGTTGCTCCCTTCTTGCCACTTTCTGCTGAGGGCAACCGGCTTGCGGGCGCTTTGTTGCTTGCACCTGTTATCCCTGCCCAATTTTAGGTGGCGAACTTGCTTGCGTGTAGGCTTTCGATCCTTTGCTTGTGACCTGTTTGATTTCTGGAGTCTTGGTTTGTCTGAGGCGGCCGTGGGATGCACAAGTAGATGGTACGACGGGTGGAACTGGCACCCCGACTGCTGCAGTGGAGGCCTGGTCGTGGTAGCATTTCTAACATGAAAGCAGTTCATTTTAAGGTAACAGGCACATGATGTTTATTCGCTTTGAGACATGACAAGGGTGCTTGTCAATCCTGTAGGAGGTGGCCACTCCTACCCTGAAGCCGATCAAGCCCAACATCGTCAGACATGGTCCAGATAGGCTGGTAGCTTTATGGGGCAAAACCCTGATCGAATGTTGGTTTGTGCGACAAGTTGCTTTTCGAGTCCTTTGTCCTCAGGTCTGGTGACGAGGCGCCCGCCACAGAAGTTGCTGCGGCATCCCTGGTGCCCAAGCTTACACGGGCCGACTACTACAGCAATCCATCAGTGGACACTTAGCCAGGTGAGATGTGAGTGAGCATGGCACGGCAGCAGGCAAACTTTAACGCCTTCGCCTCAGGCCGCCGACATTGCAGGCCTGCTTTCTTACATGCGTCCCTTTGGATTTTTTGAAAGTGTCCCATTGGAATTGTCCCATTAGAATTGTCCCATTGGACTTTTCCCTTTGAGATTTTCCCATGGAAGTTTCCCTTTGGAATTTCCCGTTGGAATTCTCCCATTGGAAGTCTCCCTTTGGAAGTCTCCTTTTGGAATTTTCCCATTGGGATCATTCCTTTGGATTTTTCCTTTTGACAATTCTCCCATTGAATTTTTCTTTTTTTGGAATTGTCCCATTTCTCTCGTGCGAACATTTGGGTTTTTTGCATTGGAATTGTTTTCTTTGAAATTCTCCCATTGGACTTCTCCGAATTCTCCCTTTGGAATGTTTCATGTACTTGTTCATGGATGTGTTTTACGTATTGTTGCCTTGGTGCTCCATGTTGGCTCAAGTGCATTTGTGCGCCCTTACTCATGCTTATTTTTTGCTGGGTACATCAAGGGAATCCTTTTGTGGTTTCCCTCGGCTTTACTTCAGATTCCAGGAAGAAGTAGAGCGGTTGAATCGAAGATGGGGTGGAGTTGTGCATCGTACGTAGAACAGTCCCATTTCTCCCATTGAATTTCCCATTCCGAAAAATGGAAGATGTTCGGGGATGGAGGAATTTCAAAGGGGAGCATTCTAATGGAAAACTTCTAAAGGCCATTTTGAAGAGAAATGCCAGCACCCCCCCTTGGAGCTTTCCCATTTGAAGTTTCGCTTCGGATGTTTCCTTGAAAATTCTCTCATTGCATTCTCCGATTGGACATGTTCCTTCGAGTGTTTCTTTTTTTTATTCGACGCTGATTGCTCCCGTCTTCCAGGAATGTCATCGGACAATGCTGGGGGGCGGCCACGTAGCGCGCGGCAATTCAAGACGTTCCTCTTTCGTAGGCTAAATCCTTTCACATGAGGGAGGTCCGGGACACGGTTCCACCCCCAGCATCCCCAGCATCCAGCGCAACATCCCCAGAAGCGCAACACCACCAGCATTACCAAGACCATGCCCCCGAAAAGGGATAAGGGGAGGGGTAACAGGTAAGGAGCATGTCTGGTGTCCGATTCAGATGAACCAGCAGAATCACAACGTTTCAAGGTGTGAGAGTTTGATCACTGCTCTGGCCACCGCGGGGAATCTAGTTGGCTGCCTGACTTGTTCCAGCGCCACGCCAAAGGAAGCTATGTCCAGGATGAGTGAGACGCAGCTGAGCCGGGTCGACAATTTGGAGATTGGGCGCTATGGATTTGGTTCTGTCAAATGGCCAGGCAGGAAGCCCACACAATGCACTTTCTTTGCTCTCGCAGCAGGACTGACTGACGTGCGATGCCATGACTTTGATCGAGATGTCCGAATCGAGCGTGGCAGCTTGACGCTCTATCCTGACAGGCTCGGCCACGTGTTTCCAAGCCCATTCGCGTGAGGATCATTATCGATATAATTTTAACGATGGGTGTGTGGGGTGGGCGTGGCGTGGGGGGTGATTCTGGAAATTGGGGGGTCCTTCCGATGATGTAGAAGGCTCGAGATCTATTACCTCCTGAAGGCCGGAGATTCGGATTTTTAACTAGGGTTCTCGATGTTTCTGTCAGCTCACAAAGAATGATGAAGAAGGTCGCAATGGTGTTATCGGACAAAGGGAACTGTTTTTGCTCCAATTCTTGAACGTCTCAATCTGAGACGCATCCAGGAGTTGCGGCGTGGGTGGAACAGGAACAGCGGCACCTTGCGATTTTCCTGCAAACATTTGGCGGAGCTACTGTCCGCGCACGCCTGATACCTTTCTTCTCTTGTCATGTTGGCTTCTTGCGCTGCTTGTTGCGTGCAGCGCTTTGCGTGTTATATCCTGGCACTCTGTCTTCCCGTGCTACTTTCAGTCTCCGCTGAAGGACCTCAAACAAAATCACGGAAGAAGCTGCAAGGCATAGGAAGACGTTGAAGCTGCCCTTTACGAAAGTGCCAGCGAAGAAACTGCTCGATTCCCTGTCTGGATCAACGAGTGTTTCATGCTCGAGATGCTCTGAGTATTGGCATTTCCTTCTTTTCAGCATTGGGCCTCGTCTTTCTTTCTCGATTGCCGCAAAAGTGGCCCAGTTCCGTACAAGATCTTCATACCAGATCTAACTACCTCTGCCGTCAAGGGCCTCCTGGCGCTTGCTGAGATGTTTGGTCCGAGTTGTCGGCTTGCATGTGCCGCGGCGAACGACTCCACATGGACTTGTGAACATCTTGACAAGGAAAACCTTCTCCGCTACCACAGTTGACGCTCGGAAGAGGGGGTCCTGGAGGGCCTGCAATCACCAGGTTTATTCCCAGGTCTATTCCGAGTACTGGCTGTTCTTGCGCAGTCAAATGGCCAAGCTTGGTAAGAAAGTATAAGAGTCTAATCCATTTGGCGCGCGGTGCGCTCAGCAAGGCTGCTTTTTCTCTACATGAGTGTCTGGTACAAAACAATCAAAGCTGGCTTTGGGCCAAATAGGCCACAAGTATGTCTGCAGAAGTTCCGTGCAGGCAAAAAAAACCAAAGGCGGTGGTGGGCATGCGTGGATTGCAAGATTGTGTTGGACATTTGTGCCTAGCCAGGGAGAAGCCAGACGTGGGTCGCGTGCCCAGCCTGCGGTGGCCAGTTCGTTTGGCGGCGTGGCACACTTCATGTCTGTGTGTGTGTCCTGCTGATGACTCAAGGCCAGGGGCTCAACAAAGAGGCGGTTGTCACACTGCACGTCAAGCCTACTAGGCTGGTGTGGGCAAATGTAGACCCCCCCCCCCTGTTTGTTTTCTGTGTAATGTGGCTTTAGAATCAACAAACCGCCTTCTGAGGCAACGGGATGGCATGTCACCATTATCCAAAGAGACCATTCTGGTAGTCACGCGCGAAAGAAGTAGATTTCTCACAGAGACCAAAGGCAGCTCTGGACCAATCTTTTCTGCGGCTTATAGGTTGCTGCAAGATGAGTTGCGGACTTGTGGCAGAAGGAATTGATCGTCAAGTCATGCAGCTGACTTGCTGAGCCATGTTAGCCTCTCTCCCTGGCCAGGAGTGATGCGAAGCCCAAGAGCCTGGAGCAGCTGCAGTCCAGACTCTCCAAGCTGTCAGAGGAGCGTGTTTTTTCATTGCCGCCGGGGGTCTGGGTGAATCTCATGCGCGTTTGTCATCAATCATCGTAGCCAGTGGCCAGTTGCCCTTTCGCCACAGCAGGATTTCGGGGGCAAGTTCATTTCCTACGACATGGAAAGGTGGATCTTCAGAGTCCCACACTTCAACGGCTAGTGGATGTCGCTTATTTGCACGCCACAGCTAGGTTTTCAATTTTGCCGTGCAATCGCGCGAGCCCACAGTTCTTTGAGGTGCTTCCATGAGGATGACTGAGGGCTCGTAACGTGCGGTTTCAGCTGTACGGTGAGGCGGTAAAAATTCTGGGCGCGGGGGGGGGGAGTGCAGACCCAGAAAATTAAAACAACCCTGGGAGAAGGGGGGGGTTTGAGGGAAGCTGCTGGTAGTTGGCAAAGTGGCAGGGGAGGGGAACAGTTCTCGGGATGCCGGATCAAAACACGCATTCGCAAGTTCCACACAAGCTGCAATCACTCGTGACATTCTGACACGCGCACCAGTGCAAACTTGTCAGGTCCGCCATTTCCCCTCGATGCAATTTGATGCCCAAACTGCGCTCTAACCAGTCCCCGACCTGCCGGATCCAAGCAAGGGATTGCGAATTTGCAAACATACTGGTAAACTGCAACGGGGAGAAATCAAATATGGGGTTCGTGCGTCTGGATCAAACTAAGCGCCTTGACAGCCTGACTGCCCAAATGAGCCTAGTTGGTGGTATTCTGCAATCTGGCGTCTGTCATGAACATGCGTCTGCCTGGATCAAACTAAGCGCCCTGACAGCCTCACTTCCCAAATGCCTCCTACTTGGTGGTAATCTGCAATCTGTCGTTTGTTATTTACAAAAGCTTGCCCAGCCGTCACGTTCGAATTGCTTCTGAACACATGCACTTCCGCACTGTTCCCCTGTTCAATAAACAAGTGAACAAGTAACAAGATAAACAATCCCCGAACTTTGAGCTCAGCCGAATCCTTGACCTTTCAACATCGAAGTAGCTGTTGGCTGCGGAGTAGCTGGCAAAAGTTCAAAAGAAATGCAAAGTCTCAGTCTCAGAAATAAGCGCCGCGGCACCGGCACCGGCACAAAGCCAAAATTCAAGTGGTGGAAGCTGTCGAAGAACAATCCAATGAGACAGTTGCGACTCTCGACTCTCTGGGGACTTAAGCAATGCAGCTCAGCTCGCATTTTTCTTGTTTGAGTCACACCGATGTCACGGTGTACTTGTGCTTGTAAAGAGAGGGCCACCATACCGCAATCCATAAGCCACAAATCAGCTCTAGCACCCACAAAGCTGAGAGGGCTAAACATTGCGTCTTTGGCGACCGACTCCGAATCTGAATGCCACAGAATGTCTAAATGCCTTTGAGGCCACTCAGGAATCTCAGAAAGAGCCGGAAAACAAAAGTGTCTAACACGTGGCAGGGCCGTGTCTTTAACGGGGCCTTGCCACGTCGCAACTTGTCACTTCGTCTGCTGCAAGGTCACGATCACTTGAGAAGGTGACGCCCAAGCTTCATCACCTCCTGCGTCGCTGTCTCCTTGTCGTCCTTGTTCTTGTTCGTAGCGCCCTTGCCCTTCTTTGACTTGGCGCTGGACTTGGCAGAGCCCTCGCGGGCCGCAGCTGCTGCAGCGGCTTGGATCCCCAGCTGAGAAGTTGCGTGGCCCGACGAGGCCTCCTCCTTCACAGCCTGGGCCTTTGCTGCTTTGGCAGCAGCGCTTGTGATAGCTTCTACCTCTTTCAGCGCCTGTTGCATGAGAAGGCCTGGATCTGCGGGCGCCGCCCTTGATCTTTTTCTTCTCCGCCCTCTCCCGCTGTCGGATGGCCGACGTGATGAGGTTCCTGGCCATCTTCTCAGCCTTGTCTTTGTGGCGCTGGTGCTGCGTCTCCAAGTTCGACTCGATGTCCGCCGATGGGCGAAGGATTTGCAGCGAGCAGTCCACAACACCTTGCGGCGTGTCAAGATAAGCTGATCAAGCAATCAAACAAGCAAAGAGCGGTCTGGCTTGTAAACATTGCAACTAGCGGGGGGGTTTGCCTTGACGCGTTTGACCACTGGCAAATTGGCAAATAATAAATCCAAAGAGACGGGGTCCAACCTAGCAAACCAGTCGCACCTTCCACAGTCCGCCCAGCCCAGCAATGAATGAGTGTCTCCTTGTCTCCCCGTCTCCCCCCCCCACGCCAAACAACTTCAAGACTTTAATTGGAGTTTTCAATTTCATTCATGAACCGAAGGTCGAAAGTCGATTATACAGTTATCAATTCAATGGCAAACGTCGTAGCCGCACACATGTGTCTAAACCTACCAAGGCACATGTGTGGCGGTCTGAGTTTTGCTTGAGCATCTCATCACGCTGGTTGAGGTTGTACGTCACGTCCACGTCAAGCAAGGTGACCTTCTCTGGGCAGGGAGATTTGGAGGCTGTGAGCAAGCCTGATCGGCCTTGCTGACGGTCCTTGAACTCCAGGCAGGAACGACAACCTCATGCTGCAGCACGTCTGCTCCGTACCCCGCAGCAAAGAAGGTCACTCCAAAGAGCTGGCGCAATTTGTAGTGGGGACCCTTGCCAGCCACTTGGGTGACGGGGCCGACAACTTGCCACCACACGATTCTTCGGGTCTTCAGCCTGCAAGTCAATGAGCACACAGTCAGTGGAGACAGACTGTTCTTCCAAGACCTTCCACAGGATGTTGGACAAGCCATGGCCATTTCCCCAAAGGCGGACTCCTCCAAGAAACTCACGTTCTTGTGGCACCATTCCAAGAACATGTCCTTGATGTTCAGCCTGTGCAAGGCATGCACCAAAGCAAGGCTGTCCTTGTAGTGCTCCCAGCAAGTGAAGAACGAGTTGAAATCTGCAGACTGGCTTGCGCTCAAAATGAGCTTCTGCTGTAGCTGGGAGTAGCGGGGGTTGTGCGAAGTGATCCAAGCGCTCAGCGCGTGCGCTTTCCATGCACTTTCCAGGTCGGCTGCCTCCTGAAGATAGTCAATGAAGTTGGCGCCGCTGCCGCCATGGTAGGCATTCATCAGCCTCACCAACTTGGTCACAACCTTCTCGGAAGTTCCTGGGTGCAGAACCGGCACCCGGCTCAAGCCCTTGGCACGCACTCCGTCAACATAGCTGTTCATGCCACCAACCTCAGAATCTGCCCGATGAAAAGCTTCCCCCCGGTGGTTGAAAGCCAAGGCCAAAAGCGGGCACTTGCGCTCCTCATCCTTCCACTGCATAACCGCTTCGCCTGTCGCAGTGTTCAACGCTCCAAGAAACTCCTGCTGACCCGACAGGAACTGCAAATCCAGAAGCACAGCAACACCCAACTTGACCCGATGAGATAGCTCAGTCTCCCAAAATGCTTTTAAGCGGGCAAAGGGCCAGCAAGGGCAACACGTAGTCAAGTAAAACCAAACCACTTCTACACCTCCAACTTGTCTCTCTCCCACCTAGCGCGAATTGCGTGCTAGGTACGGGAATATCGGAATCTCCCAGCTAAACCAAAATCCGCAAACAAAGCCCTGCCCCTGCCAAACAAACCGCCAACTCGCAAACGCCCCAATGAAAAGTTGCCAGGCCTGCCACTCGCTGCGACAGCCCCTCTCTGCAGATCCGCTCCTTGTAGATCTGAACAGTGCGCTCCTGCAGCTCTCGAGAATGCGGCGATCTTTGAATACTCCTGCACGTGCTGCCATCGCCAGCACTGAAGTACCAGCCCACGTCCAGATCGGCGTCGGTAAACCAATCCAATATCGCATCCACCAGCGGCGCGCCGTCAAGCGCCCCGAAGAGGTACTCGACCGACAGGTTCTGGGACGCGTCAAAGAGGTTGATGCCAAGCTTATCAATGTCCTTCTTAGGAATCTTGCCCGTCAGGATGCCGGTCGGCTTGCCCCCAGCGTCTACAGCAAAGGCTCGCTCTGCGTTCAAGGCGTCCGTGTCAGGGGCGGTCTGGGTAGCTGGCAAGGAAGTTGGCGCGCCAGCAGGCCTTTTGGCAGCTTTGGAATCAGCCTTGGCCGATTTGCTCCCACCTCCGGCCATGTCGCAAAGGCGCGCAGGCACAAACACACAAAAATACTTTAAAGGAGCAGGTTGACAAGTCCAAAACTTGAGACAAATCTTGCAAAGGTCAAGAGAGGTGAACCACGCAATCGTGACCAGGCTAGTTCCATGAGTCAGACTTGACTCTCAATGACGCATCCAAATGGTCCAACTCGATCCAAGTCAATGCCACACAGCAATTGTTCTTGCACTTTGGAAGGGAATGCCCATTATTCCACAGCCTGCAGTGCTTGCAGCTCCCAAAACAAAACAGCCTTTCAAACAGGACGCAGCTGGCTTTTTTCAACCCTCCGGAATAAGACTTCGGTGTGTGCCTCACTGCGGTATGCAGGGACCATGCAGGGAAAGGTATTTCGGAAACTGGTGAACGGTTGCTTCTTGCAAACAGACCACTCTTGCCTCCGCAAAGATTTGTGGACTGGGCCACGTGACAAGGGGTCAGAGAGCGGCTCAGAGCTTACATTGGGTCCTGGTGTTTGGCATCGAGCTGTCTTTGCAGAAATAACCAATGGTATCACTGCTTAGCTTCTCAAAAATCCTGCAGATCTACGGACTTCAACGGACTTCCCATAGACAGAGCCGGCCAACAACAACACCCAAAGCCAATGCGGAGAGAATAATGTATCTTCAACCCTTCCTAAGCCTTGAACACAAGAACGCCAAAAGAGTACTTTGATTGAACTCAAGAACTCAAGTAAGGACAATCTAAGCATGCCGCTACCCGACACAAAATTGCCAAAGGCTCAAGGCACGAATTGTCTTGACCGGCTCAGCACCCGTCGCTCAGCGCGAATGCAACAAAACAAAACAAGCAAACAGAAGGGCTCAATCAAGGCGTCAAACCGTCCTACCGACGGCCCACTGGTCGAATTCCCACACTCCGACCAAACGCCATGCTGCAAAAACTGGCATCTATGGCATCACGACAAAACCAACATTGAATCATGTGAACATTGAAACTAACATGAAATGTGAAACAACGACACTCCTTTCAATCACTGGATGGGCCGGACGGGCCGACGGGCGGCGCAGTCTTGCGCCTCAAGCGAAACTTTTTGGGCTGCTGCCCCGCCCCATCTACAACATCACGTTTCCGCTTGAGTTC